AAAAAAAAAAAAAAAGAAAAAAGAAAAAAAAGATCACTCTGGTTATGTGGAGAATGAATTACAAAGAAGCAAAGGTAGAACAAGGACCTAAGACAACTGATCATGAAGAAAATGATGTCGTCATTAGGCAGACAGGGCTATTTCATCCTTTCACTCCTGGCGTACGCAGTACCGCAGTGTAAGGAACATTTTTAGAATGAGGACAGCTCTGTGGAGCTCATGCTTGGGTTGAGTAGAAGTAAAGGTAGCCATTCAAATATTTTTAGGACATGAACGTGGTGTCAGAACATATAAATGAAGAAACTAAGCAGGTGTCCTCAAACTACAGCCTGCGGGCCACATGTGGCCTGCTGGGTGTTTTTGCCCCACTGCCTGTCCTGCTTAGCAGCTGACTCATCCCCGGGCCGGCAGTCCAGCCCTCCAACGGTCTAAGGGACAGTGAACTGGTCCCCTGTTTTAAAAGTTTGAGGACCCCTGAACTAAAGCATGAATGAATGTGGCAGTGGGTGAGGTTTTTAATCTACAAAGGAGCTAAGAAATAAATGGTAAATAAAACAGAAAAAGTAGCCACTTTGCCCTGAAGAGATTGTATGATCTCTAGGAGGCTTAAATTTTTTCTGTAGTTGATTGCAAGCTATTGAAGAATTTTAAGTAAGATAGTAATATCCTGTCCACCTTCTGTATCTGCAGATTCTACCAAAGGCAGACCAAAAATATTTTGAAAATATATTAGAACACAAACAAAAGACAATACTGTATAACAATTTTTTTTTTTTGAGACAGAATCTCACTATATCACCCTTGGTAGAGTGCCGTGGCGTCACAGCTTACACAAACCTTGAACTCTTGGGCTTAAGTGATTCTCTTGCCTCAGCCTCATAAGTAGCTGGGACTACAGGGCCCACCACAATGCCCAGCTATTTATTTTTGTGGCAGTTGTTATGGTTGTTTAGCTGGCCCGGGCCGGGTTTTAACCCAATAGCCTCTGTGCATGTGGCCAGCACAGTAACCACTGTGCTACAGGTGCCCAGTATAACAATTTTTCATATAATATTCACATTACCTTAAAAAGATGTGTGTAGATTATATGCAAATATTTTACGGGGATGTGTGCATCCCTGGATTTTGGTATGGGGGTGTCCTGGAACCAATCCTCCATGTATACCAAGAGAAGACTGTACGTCATATGGATCCCTCACAGCAGTGGAGGATGAATTTTAGAGAGCAGAGACTGGAGGAGGAAGGAAGTCAAAAAGAATGCT